CCACTGTCAGGCCTACCTATGGGGAAGGTGATAACAAGCATTCTGCTCCCCCTCCCCTTACCAAAGAGTCTCACCCCTCACAGTGCTCAGAGGGGCACACTGGGCATGAAGTAAAGGCAGGAGAGGGCAGGGCAGCATATTTCAGAGAACTGTTTTTTTTACTTAAAAAATATTCATTTGAAATTCTATCAGAGAGTTATATGCCTAAAAAATTCATTACCTCTGTTCTAATTATACAAGAGCCTTACAACTAAAATTATCTAAGAGACCACCACTTTACAGTATATGAGATGCAAAAAATTCAGATTTCCCCCATGTGTGTAAAATTTAAACATTCACATTTGCAAAAGAGAAGCGAATTGGAATAAAGACATTCACTGCAAGCTATTTCATATCCATTAGTTATCATTTACACATCAAATACATACAGCATTAAGACCAAATATACAGAATTTCCACAATTATATACAGTAATCAACATAGTGCACAATTCAAATATATCTTACAATCAAGTGTACAAGTTTAAGTATGGCTTTATAAACTACTAACAATAACTGTGCTAAAGTAACTCATAGGTCCAGAAATAAACACTGGAATGCCGGCTCTACATAGGGGCCCTTGGTCAGCGAAATGCTGGTCACCATTTGCCAAACAGGGTGTAGGTCGGTGTCTCCAGCACTGTCCACCCATCCTCTCCCGAGCAGCCTTAACATGGGTTCACATATTCCACATTGGTCCTTCTGCTCTCAAACATCTAAAAATAAATCTGTATCTCTTCCATACACTGGGAAAGACGAGGTTACACACAAAGAGGAGAAACACACATAACCAGTGAGTTGATGATTACCATGAATTACCAAAACCCGCTTTCCACATTGGTGCTGAAATTCTCAGGCAATTCATCCTCCACTTGCATAATTTGTTTTCCCCCCATCTTCTTGTTTTGCTTAAATCAGTGAACTGTGAAATCTTTCAGGAATTTTCAAGACATTTTAGATCAAGTGGTCCCCAAAACAATGAAAAAGAACTCTTACAAAGGTGGCATCTAACTACTCACCCTTCTTTTCCCATTTTAAGACTACTTTGACCTAAACTCATGCATCCGTGCCTATTTTACATCCACTTTACCACAAATGTTACAAACACATCCTTTAATTAAGTACAGCCTTCTAGGTGCTACTTCTAAGCCCCCCGCCCCCCATTCTCTAAACTCTGTTGAGGAGGAGCTTCGTAAATGTCTACCTTTGCTATTGCTTTTAATGTACATAATGTATCAATGTAGCAGTGTGTGTGTGTGTGTGCGCGCATGTGCATGTGTGCACCGCGCACAAATGCCACAGTATCTGCTACTCTTCCCTCATCTCCTTCCACTTAGCAAGATTCAAAGATCACCAAATGAGGGGCCTCCCCGGTGGCGCAGCGGTTGAGCGCTGGGTTGCAAAGCTGCCCGTGGCCTATGCGGCGCCGGTTTGATCCCCGGCTGCTCCCCGGCCACCGGAGGAGGGTCCCACATGGCGCGCAGACCTCTCCTGCCGCCCGCTGCTCCCCTCAGCAGTGTATTTCGGTCCTTCTGCCTGCTCTGCGCCCTGCTCTGGCTCTGGTGAATTCTCTCGCCCTCCCACGCTTCTGACTGTACCCAGTGCTTGTATAAACAAAACAAAGATCACCAAATGAGGGACCCTTATCTAATCATCACCATGGATCAACATTTGAGTTGTCACACTCTGCATGATGCAGGTGGCTGGGAAAACATGTTTGCAGTAAGCATGGTCCCAGGAGACTGATCACTTGAGGTAAAATCATTTTGACAAGAGTAACACAAACATGTCACCCCCTCCTGAAGCAGATTCCTCAGAAATGTTGAACACTCTTATTGCTTCAGATGTAATTTGTTAAAGGAAAAATACAACCATTTGGACATAGTTTATGTATGAACAGCTAAGTTATTAATACATAGTTATGTATTAATAAACTAAGGGGGAACAGAAATAAATATGTGAGAACACTTCCAATACTGAACAACTATTAACGGGAAAAGTCCATAGATGGTAAATTTTTAAAGAAGAGGGAATAAATACCTAAAGCCTTTCTCTTTCCTAGTCCTCCAATGAGCAATTATTTTCCCTCTGCTATTTAGCCACTGCTCAAGTACATGACAATCTAGGAGCTGGATTCTAGGTTTTTAAAAGTCATGGGACAAATAGTTTTAAGTATTAAAGAAGGGAAAAGCTTTCAACATTTTTGATAAATGAAAGCTACTCTTTATTCCAGAGCCACAAAGTCTTTAAACAGGCTTCCCCATTGGCAAAGTTTTCCCCAATAGGGTATGGGAGGTGAACTTGTCCCATTTAGTGACATCACTTTTAATAAAATTAACTCTTGTCCTAAGTATATATAACTTTAGAGTTAATGTATTGCTTCAAAATATTTAAAGCTGTAATTAGGGACTACTGCAACTTTTAAAAATTCAAGGCCTTCAAATTCATTGCTGATGTTATTTATGTAGAGAACATCAAAGTACGGTATCAATTTTTTGCTCTAAATAACTTGTTTCCCTACGGAAATAACCAGGAGTGTTTGGTGCTGGCTAGATAGTATCCATAGGTTCTTATTGTCTGGTCCTCTTTATTTATTTGTCTACAAATGTGACTGTTTGGGGTAATAATACTGTTGAAATTTGAAGATCCAAATTTGTTATAGTCTAGGCACAGCAGCAGAAGTTTGAAAGAACGTTAGTCTGGGGATGAGTTCCCTGCTTCAGGAAGAACCAAAATAGCTGAGGAGTTCCCATAACCAGGCCCAGAAAGCTGAGTCCCTTTCCTTTAAGCTATTATTGTTAGTATTCTCTGTAGAAGCAAGGCCAATGTGTTTCTGCTTCCAGCTATTTTAAAGGTCAAATATCTTAAATATCTTTAAGATATTCTTTAAAGCCAGGGACTAAAAACCTAATCTCTGGTGAGGAATTCAAATGAAAAAACAAAACCACCCTTGCACTTTTCGCATTTACCCATGAGTGGGACACAGGCAAGAGGCAACTCACACCTGTCCAAGGAGAACCTTTTAAACTTTCAAGCTTCATCCAGACCACTGAAAGCACCTGAATTAAGGTCAAACACCCCATGATCACTCGCAATTGCTCCCTGGACCTGTTTAAGATGGATTGCCAGAGTTCAGGATTTAGAATCAGAAGTATTTGTCATTAAACTGTTCTTCAACAAACTGCACTGAAAAGGAGAACAAAGGATCCTGGTCATAATCAGGTGCAATAATAGTAACTTCATCCTGAAAAAAAAAAAAGAACCTGAGTTGTTCCCCATCAATAAAAGGCACCATCCTTTTATTGAATATACACTCAACAATTATTCTAAGAATGAAGGAATGAATGAAGGAAAGAACTAACAAATGAAAGAATGTGAGAAAACCTGATTGTGTAGACAAAAATTTAACCTCTTCTCTCCCACCCTAAGGCCCAGGATGACCAGGCTGATGTGGTGGGTTTTAAGGTCGAATGCAGCTCACCTAGACTTGAATTGATTTTGATAAATCAACTTTGGGGATAGTTAAAAGATAAATTGATGATGACAACAAAACCCTGTCACTTTTGAAATGCCAAACCTGTCTAAACAAAGACATTTTCTCAATTAACGTTAAGAGAGGTCTCCTTCCTTCCTTCCCTGTCACTCAATACATCTTTAACTGGGGTCCATGAACCCCCTAAGGAATCCTTGGATTCCTTGGATAATTTTAGGAGGTCTTCAAACCTCCTTAACTTACATGTACAATATCGTCTATTTGCAGCTATGTATCTTTCCTGGAATAGAGGACTTTCATTAGATTATTAATGGAATCCATGACACAGAAATAAAAAAACATATCTTTCTAAGCTGTAGCTCACTTTCTGAGCATGACTTTCCCTCACAGCCTCAGGGAAGGAATGAAGTGCTATGTTTCTAAGGGGTAATTCTAATGAGCTGGGATATCTTCTAGAACTGACAAAGTTGGATCTTGAGAAGTGGGTATGACTTGGATCTGTGGAGAGGAAGGGTAGGCATTTCAGGAGAATGGCAAGGATGCACAGAGGCCGAGGGGCACAAGGCATGTTCAGGCAAAAGCACACACATCACCCTAGTGGTACTGGAGGGTTCACGTGGAGGAGCCCAAGGAGACAAGGAGAGTAAAGAGGTGAGAATACCAGGCCCAAAGGAATGACTCCCAGCCTGAGGCAAGACAGCACCCCATCAGTACTAGATCATTTTAGAAAGACTAATAAAATATGGATGGATAGGATGGATTAGTGATGTGATCAAGTATGCAAAGAGGCTATTGCAGATGCTAGGCAAAGAAAGATGCCCTGAAATCAGGGAGCCATATCTGTTCACCACTGTAGCTCCATTGTGGACCCCCAGGCCAGGCACAGGGAAGGCATGCAGTAAATACAGTGAGTAAACATCTGGGCACAGAGTTCCTAAGTAACTAAGAATGAGGGGTCCTGGTGACTTAGATAGCCATCTTGCTACTCACAGAGCCTAGCACAGCCCTGTGTACATACTGAAGAAAGATCTCTTAACTTGACCTGGACCAGATGAACATAGGGATGAGAGTAGATGATTCCAAGCATTCTCTGAAAGAAGCTGGGTATGTGTTGATTCTATGAACATGGAGTTATTTCTCAGGTTAAAAAAAAGGAAAGTCAAGGTGGACCCCCCTGGTGGCACAGGGGTTAAAATCACAGCATTATCAAAGTATCACTAGCCACTGTGCCATGAGTTCGATCCCCAGCCAGGGAGCTAAACCACATGGTGCAGCAGACCTCTCCTGTCTCACCTGCTGCTTCCCTCAGCAGTGTATTTCAGTAGATCTGCCTGTTCTGCACCCCACTCTCTCTGGTGAATCCTCTCATCCTTGTACCTCTGGCCTACACCCCCAGTCTTGTATGCATAAATAAATAAATAAATAAATAAATAAATAAATAAATAAGATCTTTTTAAAAAAGTCAAGGTAATAAAATGGCAAGAAACTTCTATGGGCAGGTGAACAGTTCTGGCCCTTAAAATAAGCATGTGTGTGACAGTGAGCCACTAACAACCTTGGGGCTCTCTTGCAAGGGACTTTCTAGAGCTAACCCATGGCCACCTATACATTTCTATGATTCTACACTTCCAGGCTTCCTAGAGCTAATTCATGGCCCAGATATATATGTCTGTGATACTATGAATTCTCTCAAATAATCTGGGCAAGACCCAGAATGCTAAAATCTTTAAAGCTCCCTTTCCTTGCACCCTAGCCATTTCACAAAAACATAACCTAATACCTCAGTGTGCACAGGCAAGGCTCACATGAGGTCTATACTACAGATGTGACTCAATGCCCCATTGTTCTATGTCTGTGATCAGTCAGCTGTGTAGCCCATGACCTTAGTACTGTTGCTGTTTGCAATCCATTAGGATATAACAACAAAATGGTAAACTTTGATAATATAGTTTAATTCTACATAAATTTATATTATCCTTACATCTACTCTGATATATGCAGAGCAAAGTGTACTGCTGCTGTTCATTATTCCTGATGAGTGGGGCTGTGGATAGAGGGGCAGAATTTATTTTTACAATGAGAGATAGAAGGAGCCAGTCATGGGTCATCTGTTCAACCAAAAGCACCTGTTAAAATTAAAGTTCACACTTCCTTAAGTTACTTTCCAATAAAAAAGAAACACAGACCTTGAACAAGTAAACCCAATGACCAAAATGCCCCCTAATTTCTTGTATTTTTTCCTTATTAGTAGCACCTATTCATCAAATTGGAAAACACTTCAAATCTGGGTACATTAAGAATAAATCACATAAAATTAAGTGGCCCCCCACCCCCAAAAGACTACAGAAGTCACCCACAGCACAGTGATTTTTGTCTTGGCCATTTTGTTTCCATAGGCCATGATGGGAAAATAAAACCTGGGGATAGTCTAGTTATACCTACAAATATTAAGCAGCCATTCCTGAGCTCTCAGGCCAATACTAACTCTTCTCCATTCAAGCCCCAGTAAGAGGCACCTGGATAGAAGAATTTCACAACTTCACTTTGAACATTGGCTCTCTAAGTAACATAAACAAAAGTATCTGTAATTCTACATACTCACAATAATCATTCTTGGAGTAAACACACATCACATTTAGTGCTATACAGTAAGAATAAATGGTAGACAAAATTTCAAACACAATTCTTTCCAGCTGAGGGTAGGGAAAAGACAACTCAGTCTTTCTGCAGACAGGTCCAGTGTCCACCTGTTCATTACATTCATATTTTTCAGCCAGAAGTTTGCCGAGTCACACAGAACTACCCCCAGCCAGCCTGAGAACACATTTACTAGAGAGACAAGAGAATATGCCTCCTAAATGATAGTAGAAAATAAATACAGACTTATCCTTTAGTATCTTCTCCACCATACTGTCACTAGGCATCAAACAGTACTCTCAAATATGAATGGTTTTAATAAAATACAACGTTCTGCACAGTAAGAATATCTAATCTAGGGTCTCTTATATTTCTCCCCGGTTCCATATGCCATACACAGTTGGTAAGCAGCTTCAAAAAAGCTCCCCCTTTACCTCTTTCTATGAATCCATAGCATTTTAGGATTGTTTTTGCAACAGCAGTATTCAAAGAGTCCTCTTCAGGTGAAGCATATGAACTCTCAGAAGCTGCTGTCTTAATCCCATAAAGAGTTCTTACTCAGTGAGTTAGTTGAGGTCAAAAGCAAAGTTGTTCTGTTTACAGTTGAAAATCTTAGCACTGACTCTTCCTAGCCCAAATCCATGGCCATCACCCCAAGATCTTCACCCTACACTTCACTGGAAAAAGTTTTAAATCAACAAAAAAATAACCATCTTTAGAGACAAAATGTCTTGTAAATATGGGTAATCCCGTGTTCATGTGCTCTCTGGGGAGGGAGAGGGAAGAAGAGAGTCTTAAGAAACGAATCTATTTGTCCTCAGAATTACTTTCTTCTCACTGAAATCCCTAGAAAAGTTCCATTAATAAAACTGCATAGAGTCTACACTGCACAAAGTGCTTTGATACCAGTAACACAGTCTTCTTCCTACTCCAGCTTTTCAACATATCTTGCAAAGTTTGTTTTCCAAAAAAAAAAAAATAACAAATTGGCAAGCTTCATACAAAAATCAAAAACTTTCCCCTCCACCTCCATTAAATCCATCATTTTCCTGAGCTTTTTTCCCTCCAAGTCAAACATAGGCAAGTTAACACCCCAGAGTCAACAAAGCACAACATTCCAGTGTGCATTCAGGCAATGAAAGGTTGTTCTGCAAATACACAGTAGAATTGAAGAACTGTAGCTGTTGATGATTTGTGAAAATATTTCCAAGGTTCTTTCAACAAAAGATTTTGATTCAAGCGAGAGCGCAGAGAGGAGTGATGACAGAATCTTAACTGTGCCTTTGTGAGTCTTACATCTGCTTGAACTTTTGCAAGTGGCTGTGGTTGCTGTGGCCCGAATATGGAACTCCTTTGCCCTCAATCTTCGCACACATGAAGTACAATAAAGAATAAAATGTGTTTATATCACACCTCTTCCAAGAGGTTGAAAGCTCAAATGTTACCACATGAATCCTCACAACACCCCTGTGAGGTAGGTAGGTGGGGAATATTGTTATCCCCACTTTACAAGTGGGGGAAATGAGGCACACAGAATTAAGGGACTTGCCCTAAATCACACAGCTAGTCACTGGCAGGGCTTAGAATAAAACTTATACTGATTAGCACCTAGCACAGTGCATTGCACATAGTAGGTGTTCATTGAAGATCTATGGATTTTATTTGACTTTTATCTCAACATACAACATCCACACATAAAACACAAGCAGCCACCAGAGAACATTTACCTCCTACATTTTTTCTCATGACATCTCTCACGACTACAAACCTTGATGGATGAGGGATGTTCAAGAATCTACCTTGCAACTAAACCTTCAGGCTGAAGAAGATCACCATGAGCATTCTGTGGATAACCAGCTCTTTCACCAGCTCTACCTCACAGTATTAGTTTTCTAATGAAAACAAAAATGGATTTCAGGAACCATGCTGACTTTTTTTTTGTTTTTTGCCTGTTGGTTTTAAATGGAGCCATATGAATGAACAGTTCCGTGTTTCGTTTGTACAAAAAAGAAATAAGGCTGCTATCGTCCAGTTAGCTTGTGAGAACTGTGCCAAGCACGAAGACCTCCTCCCAGCTTGGATGGATTTCTACCTAGGAGACCAGACCAAGCCCAGGTAGGGGCAGCTCTGGCAGAAGGGGTCAGGGAAGCCAAACGTCACTTGCACTGTTCGTGGTCTGTGTAGTCATCCATGTCCACGTCAGAATCAAACAGCGAATGTCCAGTGAAATCTGTATCTGGGGTTCTGGAAAAACTGTTCTCTGCTCCCTCATCTTCAAAGGTCTCTGTCCTTGAGTAAAAGCTGAAATCCAGCAGGGGAGTGTGGGTTTTGCTGCCTTCACTGCTCTCCTCAGACTCGTAGATGGTGTTGTCATCGTCATGCTGCCACTCGGGCCAGAATTTCCTCCTTATCCTTTCGCAGTACATGGCCAGGTTGATCAGCTCACCTGCGGTGCAGAAAGCAAGGGAGGGTTAGTGCTCCAAGGCGACAATCTTCCAGCCAGTCTTTCTGGGAATTGGAAGAACAGAGTGAGGAAGACATTTGTGGGGTTTTCTCACAGAGAGACCAGCAAAATACTGAAATTTTTGTACACATCATAAGACAGGTGAGTGGAAAAATTTTAATTCAGAGGCTGAATGAGATTTAGGAATGCGTCCTAGGGTGATGACAAGTGGGGGGAGTCTATCCAGAACGGCAGTTAAACTACCATCACTTGGCTTTGTAAAGCACTTTATTATTTTATGTTTGCCTATCAAGAGAACTAGTGTTTCCACTGGTTCATTTAAAATAATTTTTAGTTCATAGAAATATACCAACTGTTAGATTAAGGCTGCCAGAAGTAAACATTCACTCCACAAATATTTGCAGTGTTACTATGGGCTGGGCACTGGGCCAAACAGTTGAAGAAAGTCATGTTAGGATGGGAACTTTGCCCTAAATAAATCATAAAATGGGTTACTCAGAATTGCCTTTACAATGAGTGTGCCTACTAAATTCATTTAGTAAAACAGGTGTTTTTTTAAGATTTTAAGTATAATTCCACTGCTGCCCCACGAATGGGCCATTTTTCTTGTGTGGATCAAAGGAATTGTTGTGTAAGCTGCTAACATTGTCCAGGCCTTTGTCTGAAACATGGCGCTTTATCTGGCTTTCAGTTACTAATTCCCAATGAAAAATGAAGAAAAAGGGTGAGGTTTTGCCTTTGATCCACCAGATGGCAACATTGCTGACAAATATATAACTCGTGTCTCTCTCACAAGATTATATTGCCCTGAGAATATTTTTTGGATGTTAATTTTTTTAAGTTTTATATATATATATATATATATGTATGTATTTATATATATATATATTATGTACACTTCTTATGAAGTTAGTCCATGTTTTATTGAAGAAAATTAGAAATACAGATAAGCAAAAATAAAAGAATTGCCAAAAATTCCATTTTCATTTTTACTGCATAGCATTTACTATGTATTGTTTTCTATGCTACCTTTTCTACTTAACAGCTTATAATGAAAATCTTTCAATATTACGTTATGACCACCTTGAAACTGCTTAGCATTTCATTATACAGATAAACCAGCTTCACGTTGCTTTTACCAATCCCCTATTTACCTGCTATATCCATATTAATAGGTCTACTGATTATAGTCTGTATTCTATTTTCTATCAAAGAACGGAATATATTCTCATTTGGGAAAATTAGAAGTCTGTATATAAAACGGGTAAAAATACATATAGAAGAAAACAAGGGCCTCCCTAGTGGTTAAGGGCCTCCCATGGGGTTAAGTCTCAGCACTATGAAGCTATTACCAGCCACTGCAGAATGAGTTCAATCCCCAGCCAGGGAGGTGACCCACATGGTGGGGCAGACCTCTCCTGTCTCACCCACTGCTCCCCTCAGCAGTGTATTTCAGTCAGTCTGCCTGTTCTGTTCCCTGCTCTGTCTCTGGTGAATCTTCTCACCACTCCCTCTCCCCCTCCCCCGCACCTCTGGCCCAGACCCCAGTTCTTCTACACAATATAAATAAAATAAAACTTAGGGAAAAAAAGCATCTATAACCTCATCAAGCCAAATTTATAGTGATTAACAATTTGGACTAATTTCTTTCAGTATTTTTTCTATTTATTTACTGTTATCATTTACCAGTAATATAACTATCACTTCCTACAGCACTATTGTTAACTTTTCAAAACTTGATCACTATTCTGCTTAAATAAACACACCCCCTAAAAACAGCATAAAGCTAAGCCCCTGCTTCACAGGCCCTGCGGCCCAGCAAACTCGTATCGCTTCCAGGTCACCATGTTCAGTAGTCTCAGATCATAAAAGTTCAACCCCCATTGCGTAAGTCCATTCTAATGTCCTCTACTCGAAGATGTCTATGTACACTCTCAGGAGCCAGAAGCTGAGAAGGAACATCGCTGCTCCGCTTGGGAAGGTGCATGTAATACCTTCACTTATTTTCCCCCTCAGGGAGCATTCACGAAACATCTCACCAGGTACTGCTGCAGTCACAGTAACTGAGATTAGAGAAAAGTGTGGAAGCAGTAGCAAGAGGGTAAGGGGGGTGTGGAGGAGCCACTGAAGATGAATTATGGTCACTTCACAGCAATCTCTGGGGACCCTGTGACCACTTTGTCCAAATCAAGTCCATTCCCTAGGAGCAACTAGAAAAGCAGAATCTGTTCACAAGATCCACAACATCTGTACGCTCTATAATTCTTTCTGCTTCTTTTCTGGTTGGTCTTCTACAGCCTGTTTCTTCACCTTTCTTCAAGGAGAACTGCTCCCTTTCATGAATATGTAGCATTAATGCCGCTTTGGAGTGCAATAGTAAAAATTAATAATAAAGGCAAACATATATATAGTCCTTGCCGAATACTAGGCACTGTTTGAAGTGCTTTATTCATCTACTTAAGTTATATTAACTCCCTTAGTTCTTATAACAATCCTATGAAGCACGAATTATTAGTATTCCTATCTGTAATGGGAAAACTGAAACAAGAGAGAGGCTAATTAACTTGCCCAAGGTCACACAGTGGCAGAGCCAGAAGTCAACCACAAGAGGTCTCCAGACACCATGCCTTTTAGTGTGTCTCTACTCTGCCATCTTACTGATAAGCTGACATGCTGCTCCCCTGCCTCAGTTTCTTGTATATTATTTTGCTTGGTTCTATCCATCTATCAATTCCACTCATTCATCCATTCATCCATCCACTTTTTGAATGGCATGTGAGAAAAGCTAGACACTCACAAGAAACTGGGCACTGCCCTGATCTACCATATTCTTATCTGAGGTTCTTTCTTCCAATCTTGCATATTTAAAAATTGTTATAGGGTCTCCCTGGTGGCGCAAGGGGTTAAGCACAGCACTATGAAGCAATCCACAGCCTCTGCAGCATGAGTTTGATCCCCTGGCTGGCCAGGGAGCAACCCACATGGTGCAGCAGACCTCTCTTGTCGTACCTGCTGCTCCCCTCAGCTTGTGTTTCAGTCAGTCTGCCTGTTCTGTTCCCCATTCTGTCTCTGGTGAATCCTCTCACCCCCCACTCCCCGCACCTCTGGCCTGTACCCCAGCTCTTGTACGCATAAACAGATAAATCTTAAAAAAATAAAAATAAAATTTGTTATATTTGGTTTTTCTTTTGAATCTTGTGTCCCTGGCCTTCCTGAATTAAAGATGAAACTTTTCAGTGGCACAATGACCACACTCCCCTTGGAGTAGGTCGCCACCCTTCCTTGGCAGCACATTTCACATCCAGACCTTTTCCACCGCACATCCCCCTCTGGTTTCTGTATATTATATGCTATTTAGTGCTGATCCCATTTACGCCTCTCCTGCTCAGCTGGGGCATAAACACTTTGATTAACTGTCATCAATTCCTCCCCCAATCCTAAAAACTACCACCACCCCAGCCCCCAGGGACTTTCTAAGGGTTTCAATTTGGCGCTGACTTCAAACAATTCCCAGTCACCAGTAGAGGGGAAGCCTCTCCCAAAGATCCCAGCTGCTATGTGTATGTTTATCCCAACACCCTCCTCCACCATATACATACACACACACATACACACACACCCCCCCCAAGATCTGCAACCTTGATATCAAGCCAAGGTTGCCTTTTACTGCCCCCTTGCCAATGTGAATTTTACTTCTAGCTCCCAAGCCACCCTACCCCCAAACATATGTTCATGCCCTAGCTCTGACCCAATTCATCCCCACTTTCATGCTCCAGTCCTTAACTGTAATCCCAACAGGTCTTATAGGTAAGACCACACAACAAAGATACAAGACTTTGTCAATTTGGTGAAAAGATACATATAATAATACAGATACTACCACTTCCCATATACCAGGCTTACAAAGCACTTGTTGACACTCCCATTTTCCCACAATCTTGAACTATCCAGCTCTATTACTCTCAGTATATGATCTATAGACATCCCTCTGGAATAGAAGAAAGGAGAACTTCAAACTCAAATGACACAAAATTATATGACTTATTCATGTGTATGAAATGTCCAACACTAGCTCAGACTCAAAAAAGGTATCTGAACGGGCAGTGAGTCCATCAGCCCCACCCAACCAACGTTGCTGCAGCATTGGTTAAAGTACAAAGCAGAGAGTGACCATGTCCAAAGAAAATTTAGGAAGACCAACAAAACAAGGGCACTCTTAGCGATAAGTAGTAAGTCAACTATGTAAGGAGTGGGCAGGAAGGCCCTGGTGTAAAACATGGCAATATTTATGCCAGCTTTGCTAAGAAGACAATCTGTGCAATACAGCAGTTGAGAAGCCCAGTCTCTTCCCAACTCCTATACGTCCTGACGCTGGTCATGGACACCATAGCCTGGTGTTTCCATAAAGCACAGTCAAGTTCACAGGTGTTGACCTAGAATTCTCTGTTCTGTTACTCTCCATTCTCCAGCAACTCCCAAACTCTAAGGAGGTTCTCAGGGCTTACCTTTGATCAGCCGTTCAGGTCTTGTCCCAGGTAAGGTCCACATTGCCTGTGCCAAGTGTCCAAAGACCGTGGCATCAAGAGTGGAGAGCTTGGGGCCCATGATGTACTTCTTGTCACCTACAGCAGACAAAGCACAGAAGTCAGTGGGCGGCCCCATGCTGCCCGACAGTCATGTGATCTCAGCACTCACACATTTAACTGTGCATCCAAAGTTCTAAAGACTGAAAATGCATGCATTTTTGCTTTAAAAAAATTAAAAACAAATGAAGGTTCATGGGTGAAAGGTCTAAATGGCCCACTAACAGACCTCTGGTGGCAACTTCCCATCTCAAACTCTAGTAATTGAAGCTTGAGATGTTTGAGACTATGTGGAAGCTTGCAAAACCATCTCAAAAGTAAAACAAACTGAGCACATCCAACCTCAACACCTTCTTTATTAAATTAATATATTGCCTCAGGAAAAATGAGAGACCTAAGCTATTTTAGAACTTCAGAAGCAAGGTTTCCCACGATGACCCCATGTTGTGGCAAGGCTGAGTACCAACTTCCACAGAAAGCACTAAGTAAAAGAGGTGCTTTCCCTAGCGGTGAAAGGGGTTAAGCACAGCGCTGTGAAGCTACACACAGCCACTGCAGCACGAGTTTGATCCCAGGCCACCCAGGGGGCTACCCACATGGCGCAGTAGACCTCTCCTGCCTCACCCGCTGCTCCCCTCAGCAGTGTATTTCTTCAGTCTGCCTGTTCTGTTCCCCGCTCTGTCTCTGATGAATCCTCTCACCCTCCCGCACATCTGGCCTGTACCCCGGTTCTTGTATGCATAAATAAACAAATCCTTAAAGAGAGAGAGAGAAAGAGAGGGAGAAACACTAAGTAAAAGAAGCGATAAAATTCCAGGCTCAGTCCTGGGATCCAGCCCCCATACAAGGAGGTTTCACTGCTGCTGCCTCCCTCCTCCACCACTACTGACCTAGCTCAGGTCTTATAACCTGGACTGTCTGTTAAAATGCCCCAGTCCAGCGCTGCAGCATGGGTGCCAATGGGCCTCCCAGTTCACATCGTGGCACCACTGCTGCTCACTGTGGGAGCCTGGCCATGGCCTGGCTTCTCAAAACCTCACTTTTCTCATTGGAAAAATGGGGATGATATTAACAGCACCTATTTCTTAGGGTTTTCATGAAGATAAAATGACATATTGTGGGTAGAACACTTAGCATCATTTGAAATAACTCAGTAAACACCAGCTCTCATGCCGATTGCCTGTCTGTTCCTCTAGTCCTCTCCACACCCCACCTGGACTTAATCTCCAAGATGCTCTTTTCATTATATCTCTCTTTCATAGATACTTTCAGTGGGAAATGGGTTATGAAATAAAATCCAAAATCAATTTGGATTTCAAGACTTTCTACACTCTACCTTCAACACATATTCCAGCTTTACCTTCCATCTTCCCTTTCTCTGAAAAATACTGGGATCACCCCCTACCCCCAGCTTTATGCTTTCCATTGTTATTCTTTTGTTCATATTGTACCCATTCCACTCCCTGCCCCTCAGTACATATATTCGCTCCCCACTTCTCTCCATCGGACGATTCTAACCATCTCTTAATGTCCAGTTCAAAGCCTCCTCTCAAAGCTTTCCCTGTCTACTCTACCTGGCGCCTTCGGGGCTTTCAGTTAAGACAGTCTGGTGTTCAAATCTCACTGTCACACAGAGGACCCTGAAGGATGTTAATGCTTTTAATGCCTATTAGCCTCTATTTCTTAAATCATATACTCCCTAATTGTTTAGAGAACAGCCGAGAGTTGTTTTTCATTTGTGCATTTATCTTTCTAATTAGATGGCAGGCTCTTTGAAAGTAAAGGTAATTTCATTTTTTATTTAACAAACTTTAACACAATGTTTACAACATGCCAGGCATAGTTCTAATTGCTGTATCCTCCAAATATCCACCCATTTCAATGGTGTTGAGTGGCAAGTTGAGAAAATGAAGTATCTGGTGACAGCACATAGGCAGGCTAGGATGGAGAAACAGCTTGAGGTGGGAGTGCAGTTAACACATGTGAAGCTGAGGACTGATAGAGGTGTCAACTAATGCTATGGTGGCAGTCTGGTGGCAATCATATTGCAATAAACAAATGTATCAAATCAGCACATTGTGCAACTTAAACTTACACAATGTTATATGTCAATTATATATCAACTTAAAACAACCACCAAAAAATGGAGCTGAAAGCGATATTTTAAAAATCATTTCTACTCTATATTCCACAGAAACCAAGGACTGATGGGTGTACAACATACAGGACCTAACCAAATTATCTTCTCTGGTGAGGCCAATAAAAATGTCCAAGCTACTATTCTTAAGTCTTTCCCCCTGTCAACCAACCTCTCCATTATCTGTCTCACTTTGGGATCTAAGCCACTGAAAATACTACCTGGGCAAAAATAACAAAGAAAAACTGGGTATATCATTTGTTCTTAAGAGCATCAATTACTTCTTAATGGTTCATCCTGCTGGCTCAAAGCCTCAGTCACATCCCATCTGGCCTCAGTGATGCAGGCAGGCAAAGGACACTCGCCCAAAGCTCTCCTGCTAACTGGCAAGGTCAGAGGTGGATGGGTCTGAACTCTAGTCTTCTCAACAGGAGTGTACCAGGGCTCAGCCCGTTCAAGGTCAGAACAAAGGGAAGTCACAAGTGGAAGCCATGAGAGAGTTTTTGGGATAAGTGTGAAAAGGGCTATGTAGAGTTTTCAGAAAGAAGGAAAAAAGGTTAGAGTTACATTGGCTTTCTGACCCTTCCCCCAAAATAATGCTGATCTCCTTAAATTGCTACCCAAAAAAAGGGTCGATAGGATTGTCAGAGTAAAATCTATATATTGTAGAATCTAAAGATTTTAGGGGCAAGAAGTAAAAATGTATGAGGATTTAAAAAAAAAAAAAAAAAACTTGGGAGACCTAAAAATGAAGAAAAAGAATAACAAAAGTAATCATTTAATCCATACATGGAACCAACTAGTACATATAGTGTTCAGTCCAAATTTGCCATCTGGCCTCAGAGCACCAAAACTGGAAGGACGCTGAGTTAGTAACAGAACCAGACCAAGAATTTGGCACCCCTTTCTCCTGACTTCTTTGCCCTGCACAAGACACCACATGGGTCATCATCTCACGGATTAGCAGGAGGGTTAAGCTGTGAATGTTTCAATCAAGCAGGAATACAGAATACAGTGAGGGGAAAGTATAGCCGAAATCTAACAGTTTTTTTTTTTAAGATAGGCACCTTTTTTGGGGAAAAAAAAGGATAGAATTTAGCATTTGTGGAAAATGTGCAATAGCAGATACAAAATTATATGTATTAAATTATATATACACGCAACAGTTATAAACATAAGGAATGTAAAAATATCCCTGTTATTATAAAGTTCTCAAAGTAGCCAATGACAGGAAGCTTCTCTTTAACTTTTTAATGTGAAATAATTTTAGACTTATAGAAAAGCTGAAAAATAGCAGATTGCTATAGACTCTTCCACCAATTACTACTAAGATTAAACATCTTATATACCAGAGTAAATTTATCAAAACTAAGAAATTACCACTCAAATAACACAATAAAGAAATTACAATTCAAACAATATAACTACTGATTCATTCAAATTTTATTAGTTTCAGCTAATGTCCTTTTCTGTTGCAGGATCCAGCCCAGGCTCCCACACTGTCATGTCTCCTGTGAAAATGTCTCAGTCTTGCTGGTCTTTCATAACTTTGGTACTTTTAAACAATACTGGTCAGCTATTGTATAAAATGTTGACCAATATTTTGTCTAATAGATGATGCATTTTTCTATATCCTTCTGTGACAACAAATTTTATGTCAACTTGACAGGGTCACTTAGTAATCTGCACAAACTTACTCTGGGTATTTTCAGGAGGGTTTATTTTGGATGAGATTAACATTTAAGTGGCAGACTGAGTAAAGGAGATTACCCTGCCTAATGAGAGTGGGTCTCATGCAATTACTTGAAGGCCAGAAGAGAACAAAAAGGCTGGGTGTCCCCTAAGTAACTGGAACATGTGCTTTTTCTTTTCTTTTTTTTTTTCAAGATTTATTTATTTGGAGCCTCTCATGTGGCGCAAGGGGTTAAGATGCAGTTCTATCAAGCTATCCATCGCCAGTTTGTTGTGAGTGTGTGGGGGAGGGGATGTGTGTGTAAGAGGATTCACCAGAGAGAGTGGGGAGCAGAACAGGCAGTTCTATTGAGTTCTACACTGCTGAGGGGAGCAGCAGGCAAGACAGAAGAGGTCTGCTGCACTCTATGGGTTGCTCCCTGGCCAGTGTGGGATCCAACTCATGCTACAGTGGCTGGTGATAGCTTGATAGTGCTGTCTTTAACCCCTGCACCACCAGGGAGGCCCTGGGACATGTGCTTTTTCTTGCCTTGAGACTCACACTGAAACACAGGCTCTTTCTGAGTCTTGAGCCTGCCAGCTTTGGACCAGTACCACATCAACTCCCCAGCCTGCCGACTCGCCCTGTGGCTCTTGGGGCTAGTCAGCCGCCTCAATTCATGAAGCGATGCTTTATAATCAATCAGTCAGTCACACATACACATGCGCGCACACACACAGTATTAGTCTGTTTCCCTAGAGAACTTTGACTAATACACTTTCTCAGGACATCACATCAGGGGAGCCATAACATTTGTATGTCTTATTGCTGGTGATGTTAATCTTGACCATTGGCAAGGTCAGCGTCTGTAAGGTTTTTCACTATAGTGCTACCATTTTTTCCTTTTGCAATTAATGATCTTGGGAGAAATTCGTTGAGACTACATAAATATCTTATTTCTCCTCAAACTTTGGCCCACTAATTTTAGCATCCACTGGTGGATGTCATCTGAAATAGTCATTACTGTGGTGTTTGCCTAATCATGATTTTCTATTTCTCTCATTCCTTTAACAGTATTGATTAGAATTCTACTGTCCTCTTCAATCCCATTTACTAATGCATTCAATTATTTATTTATGTAAGTACACACTTGTTGATGATTATTTTATCCCAGTACTCTCATTATTTTGTTGCTCAAATTGTCCCAGCTTTGGTCTTTTGGAACTTAGT